TGTACTCAGCAAGCGCAGTACAGCCCCCAACTCAGATTTGAAAACAATCAGTGGATGGCTGTTTTCTGACTGGTCGGCAGACCGCCGACCGGTCAGCCCTACTGGTCGGCTGCAAAACGGTCAGCAGTCGGGGTTGGCGGTCGGCAGGTATGCAACCCTGGGAGTGGGTCCTTGTTTTTGAGAAGAAGTCTGCATCGACATTTATGGGGGTGAATGATCTATTCGTGCTGCCTGGCTTTGGTTGCGATGCCCACTCAGCTGGATCGCATTCTAGGCCTTCTATAGACGTATCTATCTGGTATATCTCTTTGTCTCTCAGGACCCTGACTTTACGTAGACGGAATACTGCTAGGCTTACTTCCTTCGGGTCTGTAGTCATTATAGTTACCCTGCCTGTCTGATCGTATAGGAGTGGGAAATGATGTGAGGACGGTCTGATAGCCTGACCTGCTGACTCTGTATGAGAAAATGACAAAATGTAGGTTTTTTTTTGGTTTTTTTTTTTTGTTTGTTTGGTATACTATACGCATTCGTTACTCATTGAAAGAATAGAGAGGGGGTCGGCCAATCCCCACAACAAGGCCGATGCTGGGAGCATTACCCTGTTTTGCTTTGTACGGGACTCATCTTGGATCCGGTAGAAAGACACCCACTGCTACTTCTCCCTGTGAGTTTTTGTGATTTTTGAGACATAGAGAGGGGGGTCGGCCAATCCCCAGAAAATGTAGGTTATTAGAGGAGGGTTTTCCTGGATTGGCATGTCCCTGGGACCCACTCCCAGAATTGTCATAGTCCCGTGTGCCATGAACGATAGCCCAACTGGGAGGCCCAGCAACTCAGTCGTAGCTGTAGGTTCCGTCTGTGCAGTCGAGGAGGTCATTAGAAGCCTACAGACCCCAACAAGACCTAAGTCCCAAACATAGCAGCTCAATTGAAGGGAAGTCCTGACCGGAAATGTCAGACTACCACGGCAGGGAGGCCAGGGAGCGGCACCGGTCCAAAAGATCCGAGATAGGGAACTGCAGCAGAGTACAAAAGCACTGTTACAGTGCAGCGACAACACAATTTCTATTCAAGTCTGGTGCACAAGCGCTGCTGTCTGTTTGTGCGACCAAATGTCTGATGCAACTGGGAGACGACTTTTTAGTGGGGTAGTCAACGGTGCTGGGTGCCATAGCTAGGAACTCAAGAGAGGGTGAGAGTGAGGGGGGGGAGAGAGAAGACATTCAAAGAGGAGAACGATCGCAGCCTTCAGGACGTGGCAAAACGGAGGAGGCCGAGGCATTCCAGACATTCAGAGGCACTGGCTACTAGCGCAAGTTCTGCTACGACGAACAGCGGCTAGGCTAGCACTGATTGAGGAAGGGGGCGAGGATTAGCCACGGCAAGCTGCTCCATCCAGTGGCCGCCATAGCTGCACTCAGAGAGAGATATGGGTGGCATCCTGTCCGGGTGATGAGGGAGAGGGATGCCAGTGGGAACTAGTGGTACTTACCTGGTCGTGGCTGAGGAGCACTCAAATGGGTCAGACTATGCAGCATCATGTGGAGAGAAGGAGAGTGTGAGGGTGAGAAGTTGGAGGTGTACAGAGGGAGTGGGAAAGCAGTATAGGCGGACACATCGTACTACATGGTGGTTGTATTGATTATAGGGGGCGAGAAGTGTGGCTTTCATTGTCAAGAGATCTCAATGTTCAGTGCGTTCTCATTTGGTATGCTCTTGGCGTTGTAATTCTGCTTTCAACTCTGCTCACATATATTCGTCCTGCTTTTAGTCTTGTTCAGCTCAGAAAATTTGAGCTCTCGTTGGTTGGTTCCTTGCACTATTTGCTAATTTTGCTATTTAGTATTTAGTATTTACTAATATTAGTAATACATATATATTATGTATCATATGTGACGATATATATTATGTATGTCTTGTTGATGGGCACTGTTCCTTTTTCTACTGAAATTACTTCCATTCTTTCCTTTGAGCTGGGTGTGTGCAGGTTCAGGAAGCTGTGAGGAGTCATTTTGGCTGCCCAAATTTAGAAGGGGCAGAAGTAGATGGCTCATGCAAGCTGCATGGGCAAGGGAGCCACTGGCAGCCAAGGCTCTTCTCTGGGGAGTTGATGGTATGTTTCTTCTTCCTTCTTCTTCTTTCTTTTTAATCTCCTCTTCCTGGTATTCTCATCATCAGTTGTTTCACTTTGTTTGCCATCTTTCCTCTTCCTGGTAGTCTGGTCTGATCATCAATAATTCGTGCGTGTCATCTTTGCAAGCCCCCTGGATTCCAGTTTCACTTTCAAAATGAGATGTTGCCTGTAGTTCAAGGTTGAAGCAAAGTGGAATTCTCCATAAGTGTACTCATTGTTAACCATGGGTGCAGAGATGCAAAAGGATTCACTCACACGTGTTCCTCTTTTCTGGAAGCAAAAGGGAGGAGGGCCGCAGTAAAAGTGGTTCTTTCCCTCCCAAAAAAGAGGTGGATGTTGGGTTACTCTTGTGAGCTTGGCCAGGCCAATTTTTTCCTTTTTTTTTCCTTCTGTTTATCATTTTCCGTAGCAAATGCATTTGATACAGTTTGCGTGGAAAGTTCATGGAGTTACTGCAGGCATTTGCCACAATACTATTGTCATTTGGTGTGAGACCTACCGGTAATGGTAGTTATCTCGCCCGGACGGTCACCTCCTCTGATCTCGAACACGTCCAATGGATACAAAGAAGCAAAAAGTCGTACGAGTATTGTGGTACCAGAATATGATTGTCTGGAGAGTCATTGAGCCAATTCCTTTCTTTCTTCTTCTTTTTGGAGCATTATGTTGGTAGGGGTATTTCCGCCCGAATTTAGCCAATTCGCGAGTGACACAAAGTTGAGAAAGAGGCAGGACTATGCAGTTCAAGGTAGGAATCATGGAGTATGAATCCCAATCAACAAGTCTAATGTGGGAAGCCAGCCCCTTACCCTTCAAATCCCAGCTAGCCAGATGGCATTGCTCTCTGGGTGTCATGCTTTCTTCTTCTACTTCTTGGAGCATTATGTTGGTCGAGGTGTTTGCCCCCAATTGTAGCCAATTCGCGAGTCACACAAGTTGAGAAAATGGCAGGACTATGCAGTTCAAGGTAGAAATCATGAGTATGAACCCGACTGACAAGTCTAATGTGGGAAGCCAGCCCTTTACCCTTCAAAACCGAGCGAGCCAGACGGCATTGTTCTGTGGGTGTGATGCTTATTCTTCTTCTTTGAGCATTCTGTTGGTAGGGGTGTTCCCCCCTCCAATTCTTTGAGCATTCTGTTGGTAGGGGTGTTCCCCCCTCCAATTCTTTGAGCATT